AAGAGAGAGAGAGTGAGAGAGAGAGAGAGAGAGACTTACCTTGACACCTCATCTGGTAACAATTTTCTCCAAAACATTTGTCATCACAAAGGCAAGTCTGGGCTACATGTTTTTGTGACAGCCTCATTTTGTACACACATTGATATTTTATTTCTGGGTCAGTGCAATAAAAATATTGGGGCTACTATACCAGAAAGACAGTAAAAAAAGCTTAAGTAAAACAGCCCAGAGTCTTCTGGAGCTGCATCCATAATAAATTAAATAAGTAAAACAGTAACAGTATGTTCTAACCCTTTTCAAAGGTATTGTGCTATCTCAGATATTCTCTGCCCAGCTTGGCACCTATTTGTTTAGATCCTTAATGGCTTTTATAATTTTCAGGAAGTCCTTTTTATTTTTAGGGGTGCAAAGCACACTCGTCCATGTTAATACTTATCAGGATTTGATCAGGTTATCCTTATCTTCTTTGTTACTTTTATTTACTCCCCTAACAATAAGTTGAAAGTAAGGTAAAGTTAAAGGAATCCCTTTGAGTTTTGCTCCACTGGTCATAGAGTACCTTAGGAATGGTGCTCATTTCCATTTCTTTAAGCCATTGAGCCAGCACTGTCCAAAGACATTTCTGTGGATTATGTGGCCAGCATGACATCATGCACACTGCAGCATTAAGCGTACAGCAAAACATGGAAAACTGTTACCGTCACAAGGTGGGGATGGCTTACCAGCTTACCTCAGGACACCCACAGCCAGGCCATTCACATCCCAACAACTGCCTCACCTTGAGGCACCAACACATTACTCAGCCTCCTGCATTATTGCTGCGCCATTGCCGAAATAAGTGGGCTGGCACCATGAGGCAAGGCAGTTGCCACGGCAGGAATGGCCTGGCTGCAGGAACCCTGAGGTAAGCTGGTGTGGGGCCCATGGGGCAGCCCCACCACCCCCACCTTGCAACAGTGGCATTCCAAAGAATAAGACCTCCTCCGAAAGTAAGCCCTAGTGCTTATTTTGTAACTCAAAAGAAAATAAGACCAGAACTTAATTTTTGGGAAATGCAGTAGGTTGCAGAAGCTGAGGCAAGTGATGAGAGCTCAGCCTATCCCCCAGTGGTAGGAATTGAATCACTGGAGTATAGACCTTCTCCAGCATCTTTTAAGCCACTGAGCCACTCAATGAGTTGAAAGGCAGTGTAGAAAATATACATGAACTGAAGTTAGTAGATAATACAGAAATAGTATAGACCCATTGATTTGAAGCTCAGATTGAAATCAAACAGGCATCTCTATCCACACTATTAGGACTAGTGTTTTAGGATCCTAAATAAATATCTCCATCCATCCATTCACCTGTTGACTGAAAAATGCCTGGGTTACACTGACAATACCAATTGGCAAAAGCTTCCATCATACGGTCAATCTTCTGGGCCTCTCCAGGCAAACGGAAGCTCCACAGAAACTGCCTGTAAAGAAAACCATATCTTCAGAATCTTCTATCAGAAAATGGCAATGTTTTTCCTGGAAAATAGAAATGTGTACAACTTCATTCCTCCTAGACCTTGGTAAAGGTTGGTTGTTGGAACTCTTTTTGGTTAACTCCAGTTTTGTTTTTCTGGTGAGACATTTTCACTTTTATATGCATTTTTTTTGTTAAATATATAAGCTGCCCAGAGTCACTGAGGAGTTAGGTGGTCTTAAAATTGGGATTAATAATTAAATTAACAATTCTACTATTTTGGGTAATGTTTTGCATCTGATGTTTTATTAATTGTATAGATCTTTTGACTTAGTTGAGATGTAGAGGACAATCCTTTCTTTTTGCAAAAAAATGAAGCTAGGGTTATAATTGTGGCTTCACATTCATGACCTAGGATTTTCTTTCTACAAAGCAGCTATGTTCATCTTGGATGCATAACCAGTTCAGGTGAGTCTAGATTCTAGAAGCTACATTTCCACAGTATACTAAAAACTAGGTTAGTTTTTGTGGCTTAGTTACTTATTTTGTGAACTTGAGACATTTGGATAGTTTCTGGTTCAAGTTATGATACAAGCTCAGTGTGTGTGCATCTTGTGTGAGTGCAGCCAAGTGCTAAACTATTGGATGGATTTCTCTTCCATTCCACAAATTCAGAATCATTTTTCACAGTGGCAGAGTCTTGAATCCTTACTGGTTTAGCATAACAAGGCTGGAATTTCTCTCTCTCTCCCTCTCCCTCCGCCCTCCCCTCTCCCCTCTCTCTCTATTTATCTATCTATATGCATAGAATGGAACAGAAACCACTTAAGTGCATGAGAGAATTTATCCATTTGATTCACATTGGCAGCATCTCAGCTGGTTTCCCTCTAGAGAAGGAAGATGAGCATCAAGATCAAAAGAGAGCCATAGAATAACAATGTTAGAAGGGGCCTTAAAGGTCTTCTAGTCCAACCCCCTGCTCAAGCAGGAGACCCTGAACTATTCAGAACAAGTGATTGTCCAGACTCTTCTTAAAAGCCTCCAGTGGTGGAGCACCCACCACTTTTGAAAGCAAACTGTTCCACTGATTAATTGTTCTCACTGTTGGAAAATTTCTCCTTAGTTCTAGGCTGCTTCTCTCCTTGATTAGTTTAGTACCTAGCACCTAGTCTCAATCTCTGAGTTAGTTTGCATGTTTTGGAACTTACCGTAGTGCTTGAACAAGATTGAGATTGCCAAACTGGTGACATTCTACAAAAGCCTGGAGAATCTGGAGATTCAGTGGATCCCTGGCAGGAGAACAAGAGCAAGATAAGATACATGGATTTTTTCCCACCCCAAGCATATTTTCCCCTGTGACCTGAAGCCCAGAAGTGAAACATAGTTGTGTTTATTTACTGACAATTCACTTACCTTTGTCCTAGGTAATCTCCTATGGCTTTTTTATTGAGTCCTTCTCCCTGGTAAAGAAATTTAGCAACTTCTTGTGCATTCAAGGAGAGTACCTTGTGCTCAACCAGATATTGAATACCCTGTTTGGGAAAATAGAGGATCCGATGAGTTCACTGTGGATGGACTATTGGTTCCAAGAAGCAAACAAGAATATGTAAAATAAGGGACTATAACAATGAGTGGTAGTTATTGTTATATGTGGGCAACTTAGCTTAACTGGTTCTAGTTTAATACTACCAGTTCCAGTTCTGGTTGCACAATACAAAAAAGATGTTGAGGCTCTAGAAAGTGTGCAGAGAACAGCAACAAAGATGATAAGTGCCAATCAAAGAGAAGGATTAGGAGGGTCATGATAACTGTCTTACAGTACTGAGGGGCTGTCATACAAAAGAGTGGCTAGGGTTCTAGAAGTGGTGGCTGCTCCATCACTGAAAGTTTTCAAGAAGAGATTGGACAACCACTTGTCTGGACCAATGGAAGTTCTCCTAAATGAGCAGAAGGTTGGACTAGAGGACCTCTAAGGTCCCTTTCAAACCTGTTATTCTATGTTCTTTTTTTATGACCTGAATTTATTTTAGGCCATAAATTATCCATTATCTCAAGTCTCAGGAATATACAGTTGCCTATAGAAAGAGATAATAGGTTGTATAACTGGCTAATAATTTCTTCTCTGTGTATTTTAAGATTTCCAACAGTTTTCTTTCTCAAAATTAACTTACAACAGTTGGGCCATATGTTTCTAGTAAGCAAAGTATAGATGGATTCTGGAGCTCTGCTTTAGGTCCTGTGATTGTGGGGAATCAGAACTGAGATTCTTAAAGAGATTTCTCTGTGATGACATCATAACCATAGGAATCTCTTTCATGCACATGTAACTTTCTTAATTAATTGCATCAATTAAATGAAAATATTTTGTTCCACCAGTTCCTTATTTTATTTTTCAACATGTTCAACTGTCTTCAACTTGCAGCTGTGTTTATGATAGCACTCCTCAATGTGAAGGTAAGTGGGAAATGGTTCTCAGTGTCGATGTTTTAGTGTTTACACACACATTCTTATTTGAAGAAGAGGGATTTTAAATAGGGCTGGACATATTTTCTAGTTGAACTAGTTTTGCATAGGTAGGTTCTTTAATAACCTACAAATCAATCAAAAATAATAATGCAACTAATAAAACACAATGGATATCAATCATCCTATCAAATTGTCCTCCATGTTTTTTCTTAAAGGCCTTGTTCATATTCAGCACACCTTTACCCCAATGTAGTAATGTAGGTAGCTGCTTTTCTATTAAGATTCTAACTACCATTTAATGATTGAATGGTCACTTTTGACTGTAGTGTTGATAGTAAAAGGAAGTAATTACACTGAAAGTATCAGAAAGAAATCATTCAGTGTGAAGTGCAATTCACAATAAGTTACAGTTAGTGGAATGCACAGAGATAATTACATCTAAAAAAGAAAGATAAGGATAAAGACAACTTCAGTTCCATCTTTGTGTAGGCAAGTACCTGGTTGTGATAAATAGAAAGAAATATGGTGAAACCAAAAACATGGGCATATATAAGAGCTCCAGGATGAAATTAGCTGCAGTTAACATAACTGCTAATTAGTAATTTTGATTTTCCTTTTCAAGTACAAGCAGGGGTGGGATTCTACCAGTTCGCACCTACTTGCTAGAACCGGTTGTTAACATTCTAATCAGTTTGGATAACCGGTTGTTAGAAAAAATTACTGGCCTAATCCTGTAAGGAAGGCAAGAAGGAAACATTCTGGTGTTGCTTACAGAAACTGCCTCTCCATTAACCCTTATTACATTCTTGGCAGGACTAGACTTCCTGTCTCTGGAACTTCTCTGGAGTTTCCCCCCGCTCCTTTGCTGGTACTTTGCTTGTGTGGAGTGACCATTCAAAGTTACAATGGCACTGAAAAAAGTGACTTATGACCATTTTTCACACTTATAACTGTTGCAGCATCCCCACAGTCATGAGAGGCCAGGCCTCTCACATCGATGCGTGCCTCGATGTGAATGATATTGAGTTGGCCATGCCCAGCCAATAACATGACCACAAAGCCATGTCCACCTGGTCACATGACCACCAAGACATGCCCACCAATTAAGCCACACCCACAGAACAGGTTGTTAAAAAAATTGAATCCTACCCCTGAGTATAAGCTATCAATTCCAAGGAAGAGAAAGACGATTGGAGGAAATACCAATGTGCTCTTTATTCATTTGTTTGTTTTTAGGAAGCAGATGTTGGGAAGGATAGATCTAGACCACAAAAGAGCAGAATATTATGTGTATTCCTAAGCACTTTTCATCAGAAAGAGGACCTGGGGTGCTTTGTTAGAAATTCATTAGAAAGAGGATCTGGATTTATCAGAGCTAGATCTGTCTTTCATCACATGGCTTATTTCATTTCTTATAATTTCATAGTGATCTCATTACTTGGCCTTCAAAACTTTCATTCAAGTTTTCTCATTTGTTCCATTCTCTTTTTCATGTAGTATATTGTACATAGGCTGGTCTGGCCATTTTAGTAATCTTTAGTTAAAATTCACGCTGACTTCGAGCAAATATTTTGCATACCTGAGTTCAACAGGAGCCCAACTATTATGTGACAATGGGGATCGTTGTGACATGGGTTTAACACTCAAAAGGAACAAAAGCTTTAGTGCTTTTCTCAAAGACAATTAAACCCATATTCAAAAGCAGGGCAAACAATAGATAACTGGGTGGGGATTATGCCATAAAATGGCAGAAAGAAAGAGAACCACTTTCTCTCTCCTTCTTAACCACCCATCCAAGTATCATCACCTCTGTTTCCACCAGTATTTGAGCTGGTTCCTAAGATGCAGATTGGCTCTGAGACATGATAGGCACAAGAGTAATTCCTTCCTTCCTTCCTTCCTTCCTTCCTTCCTTCCTTCCTTCCTTCCTTCCTTCCTTCCTTCCTTCCTTCCTTCCTTTGATTATTTGAAACATGAAAACTGAAATTGTGTACAGATTTATTCCTACCTTAACAGGATCCATATTAAATTTTTTCCGTCCAATGTTCAAGTTCTTATCCCTCTGAATAAGTTTGCTGCAAATATAAAGATAGGATCAGAGCATGGGGGAAAACAAAGGAAAGTCACCTTCTGTCTTTTCTAGCTGTTTGCTAAGTCCCAGAAATATACACCAACCTCCCGCATTGGATGTTTTTAAGTTCAGTTTATACAACTGATTTTCTTAATTTTAGGCACATTAAATCGCAGTTGCTTACTTGTTTTATGTCAGACAAAATATAGGTACAAATTAAACATTACTAATTTATGAAATAAAAGGAACAGTATGAAGCAGAGTAAATCTTCCCTTTTGCTCTGTGCCCATCTTATGGAGTATTTCAAGCAAAAGTTAATTAATTATAAACAATATTATAAGCAATAAAACCAGAGTCAGTTTGGTCTGCTGCTTAAGGCCTCAGGTTAGAAAACCAGAGACTGTGAGCTCTAGTCCTGCCTTAGCCATGAAAGCCAGCTGGATCATCTTGGGCAGTTACTCTCTCTCAGCCCAATTCCCCTCACAGGGTTATTGTTTGTGAGGAGAATAGGAGAAAGAAGCTATATTGGATATGTTTGCCACCTTGAGTTATTTATAAAAAATAATAAAGTTGGTATATAAATAAATATTTCTATTCTACTATCTACTACTACTATAGTATAGTATAAATAAGACTTATACTACTCTTGCTCTCTGTAGTCTTATGTTTCAAATCAAAGTTTCTATTACATATATTGTTTAGAAGATCTCTTTAAGCACTTGTTTGGTTAAGTATTTTTGTAATTTTGGATTAGTAATGTTTTCAAGGAAACTGGGAAATGCTGTATAATTGACTTGTCAAGTGGGTGACATATAGATATGTCATATGTTCATAAAGATATGCCTGTCCTAAGCAAATAAGCAAGCCAAAATGGCAATTTAAATTTAGAATTTAAAGAAGAAACATTTTGCATTTTTGACTAGTTTGGTTTTAAAAAACACTTAGATTGCTTGTGTTCCTTGTGCATATAAAATCCAGCAGTTTTTATTGCATCAGTTTCTAACCTCCCCATGGAGCTCTCCCAGGTCCTGAATACCTGACACAGGCAGCCTGTAACTAGCTTTAAAAAAAACAACAACCAAGAATTGCTGTTATAAATTGCAGGCAGAGTTAAATGACAGAATGGCAGTTCTCATTTCAGGCAAACAGATTAATCAAACAGAAGTTAGGGTGCAAAGCAAGCTGTATAACTCTGAGTGCTCTTAAGTCTCACTGCTGCTGTTTTTCCCTTAGTGTATGTTGCTTAAAGTGGCTAATTCAGTGTTTTTTTCAAACTTTGGCAACTTTTAAAATATATGGACTTCAATTCCCAGATTCCCTAGTCAGCATTCTTGATCATGGTTCAACTCAATTCTCCACAAATTTAACTAATATAGTAAAGGCTGTTAGCTGAAATAGGAAATATCCTTTTTGTATAAATTGTTCTCAAGACCCCTGAAATGTATAGCTTGAAAAAAAAACTTTCCCCCTTTTATATCCACAGAGACCTTCTGTGTGGAACATCCAGAATTTCCTAGTTTTGTTTTAAATATATTTACTGTATGTATGTATGTGGATGGCACCTTACCATGATTGTGCTTGCTGGAAATGATCAATCTCCAGAAATATTTCAGCAATCTCTTGATTTATTTTCTGGAAGCAAGAAAAACTATGAGAATGAACATAGGGAGAAAAACAGTGACCACACTGAATGTTTTACAAATATTCTGTACAGAAGACTAGGTAGTGGAAAAAAAAACAATTACATGCCAAACAAACAGATATTTGCCTTTTTCAGTCATTTCACTTAGATGCAATACACAGATTTATCTAACCTTAGAATATCTGTTAAGATATATTGTTACTATGTCCATGATACAGATGAAAAAATATTTGTAGAAAGGTAGAGATTCTCTAGATCAATAAGTCACAGGCCAAGTAGAGATAGTCATGCAACTAACTTCTTGTAATAATGCCAGGACTCTTTTCCCAGAAGCATAGCCATTATCCAAATATATTGCTCCATCTCACAGGAAAATAGTGCTTACTCAGTGCAATACACTTGACTTTATAAGACTTTTTCTACTATCTATAACCCTTTGACCCTAGGGTCAAAAATTACCTAGGGGCATCATTGATTCAGATAATCCTTTGCTTTCTCTCAGCCATCCCCAACCTGGGGTAGTCCAAATGCTCTTGACTAGACCTCCTACAATTTCCACTCCACAGTCAGTAGGCATATGGAGTGGGATTTGGCCAATTGTAGTCTACCCTACCTAGTTGGTGAACCAAAGCAATTCCTACCTGAATATCGTCCATAAAGTCTTTCTGATGCTTCTCCATTATCTCTAGCTCAGTCTCGTCAGCGTCATTCAAGTCAGATGAATCTGAAAGAGAGAAACATTTTTTATTCCCACTATGAAACTCACTGCAGTAATAAGAGTAACATCCCAAAAGACATATATGGTTAAAAAAAAAAAAACCTCACATACATGTAGATTCTTTCATTCATCTTCAGTGGAAAACAGTCAGATCTAGATGGTCATGAAAGTTTCAGGAGGCAAAATTGTTAGATTACTCCAGAACAAAACCCATGAGTTGTCATTAACAGAACAAGTAACATAAAGTGCTCACAAGACAAGAAATTTGCCAGACAACCCTGAGTCAATGAATGAGAAGTCCAGGTACCAGGGCAAATGACAATGCAGTGTTGAAGTTCAAGTGGGCAGTCAGAAGATAAGTTTGAAAAAGAAGAGTAACATTACAAGGCCTGAAGTAGATTGATGAGGTTGATCCCACAAACTGAAATTACATTAACTAGAAACTTTTATCATGAGAGTTTTTCTGGTTATGCTTCTGTTTCAGCTATTTCTCAGATAAATGACACCATATGGATGTTATTGAAAAGTCTGTTTATGTGTTTTTCATTGTTGAAAGCAGAAGCTGTGATGCAAATTCATGCAGATGCTTCTATTCCTAAGAATTTAAAAGGAATTCCAGATTTCTTTTCTGGCTTAAATGCAAGGCAAGCTAAACTGATTATTCTTTCCTATTGTCATCATGTCATGATGCCTGCTGAGCCATCTTCTCTGAATAGATATCTTCTTCTAGAGCAGAGGTCTCCAAACTTGGCAACTTTAAGACTTCAACTTCCAGAATTCTCCAGCCAGCTATTCAATTCAAGTTTGAGGATCCCTGTTCTAGAGAGTAAAGTTCATGACTGTTCTGACCCAACTGGGTTCCCAAAGAGCAAACACAGACAAATGCAGCAGCCCCCACCTTTTAAGGTTTAATAACAAATTCTGTTCTGAAGTCTGCTTTCCACTAACTAGCTCTGACAAGAAAGAGCCTTGCCAAGTTGTTTGTCAAGGCTACCACAAACCCAGAGATAAGAACTAATTTACCAAATTCTCCAAACACGAACTAAGATGTCCACCAGTTGAGTTTAAGAGCTTCCTTGCTTTCTGCAAAGAACGCTTTTTCAAACATGGCTGTTGTCTTCTTGTGGGAGGGGCCATTACCTTGCAGCCTTACTCCCAAGTCTCCTGTGCTGCTGTAATTGTTCTTTCCACTGAGTAATCCTTTGTGCACGTGCACTTGGCACAGGCTCCTTGGGAACCTCCTTGTCACCCCAGCCCCCACAATCTCTGAAGGCAGCAGTCCACTCCCTGATGGTCCTGGCCCCTCATCAGAGTCATTGATCTCCTCAGCCATCTGCACTTGCTGCCGGCTAACCACAACAATGACTGAGTAGGGATTTGAATCCAAGGTTCTGAAGTCCTAGTCTGCCATTTGAATTATTCTACTAAATTCTATCTCCATACACTTAATTTTTAAAAATTAGCATTGTGGGAATAACAGATCTGTTTCCACAAAGCTAATTAAAAACTAAATTTGGGAATTGCTGTCATCAAATCCTAATAAAGTGAGTGGTTAAAAACAGTGGGGTATTCAAATAAAGTTGCCACCAGTTTGGTGGGCATGGCTTGGTGGTCGTGCTTTGTGCACATGCACACTTTGTGTGCATGTGTGCGCCAAACACGCACTTTGCACAGGCGCAGAGGCGTTCTAACTTGTCTCCTGCAAGCCTGCACGATGTTAGTCATGGCAGCAGCTGCTGTGTGGCACTATTGTGCACTGAGCAAAGCAGCTGCACTTTGAATTCTGGCCATAAAAGTGAGTATGGGAGCCCGGGCGGGCAGGTGGGCCAAACACAGAGCAGCGAAGAGAACCGGTTTGGTCTCCACCGCTCATCGCCCACTACCGGCTCTCCAGAACCGGGCAGAACAGGTCGAATACCATCACTGGTTAAAAATCAGAATAGTGCAAGCAAGAGTATTCCCTGTGACACTCTGTGGAAGTGAAAGCTGGACTTTGGAGAAACAGGATACAAAGCATACTGATGCTTTTGAACTCTGCTGTTGGGAAAAAAATCCATCACAATATCATGGACAATAAGAAAAATGGATCATTGAACAAATCAATCTAGTGTTCTCACTCAAGACATGTAGCATCGAGGTGAAATTATCTTACTTTGGACTCATTATGCAAATATCTAGCTCCCTAAAGATGTCTGTAATGCTGGTAAAGATGGAAGGAATGAGAAGAAGAGGATGATCAACTGCATGATGTGTGGGCTTTGTTACAGTGGCAATGGGTGCACCATTGGAAGGTCTGAAAGATTGTTCTGACCCAGCCAGGTTCCCAGAGAGCAAACACGGATAAGCTCAGTAACTCAAACTTTCACAGCTTTAATCTACAAATAAACTTCCTTGTAGATAACGGATGGCATGCAGCCAATTAGTCCAACTAGAAAAACCTTGACAGAAGTCTTCAGATAAAACCGATGCCTTTTGCAAAGGCAAACACCTTTTGAAACCAGGCTTATATTCCCTGGAGGGAGGGGCCATTACACTGCATCCTTACTCCCAAGTTGCCTGTGGAGCTCCAGCTGTTGTCTTCTACGAATCACCCTGCACTCATGCACACTTGGCACAGGCTCCTTGGGAATCTCCTCATCACTGCTGCCAGCTCCCACAATCTCTGAAGGCAGCAGTCCACTCCCTGATGGTCCCAGTCCCTCCTCCAAGTCCTTGCTCTCCTCCACCATCCGCACCTGCTGCCAGCTAACCACAACAAAGACCTAACTGGGGCAGATTGTCATGGAGAAAACCTATGTGGTTGCTAAGAGTCAAAAACTTGATGGCACATAGTCAGTCAATGAATCAGTCAAAATGAGAGGTTGAGCATAATCATCTTATGGACCCTTCTAACTCAATACAGCCTTTTTGAATGGGGGTGTGGGGAACCAGGGAAGAGAACAAATAGATAACCAAATGGAAATTACAGCAATACATCTAGTCAGTGATCAAGTCCTTTGTGTTATGAGAATAGCCTGTAGCTGTGGAAGAAGAAGAGTTGGAGGATGGGGATCTATTTCTGTTCCTGCCAGGTGTACTTATGGAGAGATTTGCATAAAAGCAAGCAGGCTGTAGCTTTAGTGGAGACAGTCAGCAAAAAGGTGAAGCTTGGATGAGTTGCTGTGAGTTTGAGCTGGTAGCCCCTACTGTTTGCTCCAGTAAATGGCTTTAATATTTCACAATTTCTTTCAAAGAAAACAAATCCTCTGTGTAAAGTGCTTGGGTCCCAGAAAACTCACAACATGGAGGACTGAATGAGCAATTCATTAGAGTCATTTCCATGTATATCCTGAAAAGGATCCAAATTGGGTAACTATTTTGTTGAGAGAGTATACCTATACAATTACGTGAGCATAAAACCTAACATTTATAGCAGGACACCTGTTATAATATCCTTATCTACATAAAACTTCCTCTCCATTTGAAGGGAGATTAAGATGGTAGAAGATTTTGAAAGAAATGGAGGCCTTATCAGAAACTGTCCATAAATCTTACTCTAGCCTGTGCAGAGTTTCTGTTTAGTTCTCCAAAATGGGGTGGCTGATGTCAGAGATAAAAGCCACAAAATGGTTTACTAAAGAAGCAGAAGTAGCAAGCCGACAGGGTGGCAGTGGAGGATAATACTACAGTTAAATCATGAATGCTTAGCAAATATTTATCTATTAAGGAGAAACAGCTATTGTAACTGCAAATAAATGCATTTATTTGATTATAAATTGTACCATTTATGCGGCATTCACTCTAATGTAGAATAAAGGTATCACAGAAACTTATCACACAAATGTAAATGTCAGATCTCTCTGTGAAGGCTATGCTTTGCTTTAGCATACTGATATTCAGAATGGACCTTAGTTAGTTTGGGGAAATTAATGTTTAGCAGGGGTCAGGATTAGTTCTTCCATTAGAGAAAATGAAATGGTTCATTTCTAATAGTTCTGCAAATTTAATACACCGTGGTTATTGTAATTATTAGGATATTTTAAATTGCACCACATTGGTTTATTTGATTGGTTTCTGCTACATTAGAACAAATATTCTTTGCAAGCACACTCTGTAATTAAGTAGCACATCATTTTATTTTTGTCTTATTTTCTGCTGTCAGGGTAGAAAAAAAGGAAGTATAATCCATTGGTCCTGGAAACTCTTTCTCTACTTTGTATTTCACATGCAGATTATTGCTAAATATGGTCAGAAAAAGGGAAGCCACCACCTAGACCCAAGATGAAATTTGGATATGAAAAAGGAGGAAGAGAAACAAGAATCCCATTCAACATGCCTGTTTTTTCTTGGCTACATTTTTAAAAGAAAAAATAAAGAGGAAGGCTGATGTGTAATTATTTTTCAGAGCCCTAATGTAAAGCCTGACGAAAATGGTGATATCAACATAGAAGAACTGTTTTTAATGAACTTTTTTCATTGGGAGAGGCTATTGATATATGAAATCTTTTTTAAAAACTTCCAAGTTTGTGTTTTTCCATTGAATTCAGCAGCATGATTTCTGAACAAAAAAAAAAAAAGTTCCAAATGCGCTCATAGATTGCATACTCTCTGTTCCAGAAAAGGAAACGTTCACATTATCATATATTTCACTGGCATTCAGAGAGAATTTATTGCCTAATGATTGCCTCAACTTACTATGTCACTTCCTGATAGTACAGTATTCATACAGTATTCACTTCCTGATAGTACATACATCCATATGTAGTTTACTCATCTGGTAATGCAGAGATATAATGTTTTAGCCACAGCTGGGATGAGCAATGGAGTCAACAAAAGATACAGCAAGTTAAAAGATACCAAAACCACGGTGGTGCACTGTTTAGAATGCAGTATAGCAAGCTAATTCTGCCCACAGCCAGGAGTTCAATCCTGATGGGGTTTGAGATTGACTCAGCCTTATGCCCTGATTACCACCCACATAAAATATTGCAATATGCTATACAAGAATCTACTTTTGATGACTAATTGGAAGCAGCAATCAGTGAAATTTATTACAGAGGACCATTAATGTGGGCACTCCACTGGCTTCCACTAAGCCTCCAAATGCAAATCAATGTTTTGGTTTTGACCTCTAAAGACTTAAGAGTCTAGTTCTTAAAATGCAAGCAAGACTACCTTCTCTGTGTAGAACCAACTTACATTTGTTTTGACTGGAAATGTTATGGGTTTTGACTTCACATGAAGTGAAGCCATGGATGGCCTCAGAATGGTGTTTGTTGATGGTGGCCCCTGCCTTCCCTGAAGATCAAATCAGCATTTCTGTCTTCATCCAGAAATGCAGTGAATATTGGAATATTTCAAAGAGCTTTTTGAAAATTGAGGAATAATTCCCAGAATGGGAAAGTTGCACATGGATTTGTTCTTTACTTAGGAAATAAAAATTTGTTTACTTAGGAAATATAAACCCACAAGTTGGGCTTAGTAATTGTGTTGGTGAAAAAGATCTTGAAATAGTCATTAATAGCAAACTGAATATAAATAAGAACTGTGGTGTGGCTGCAAAGAAGAGAAATAGAATTTTAGATTGCATGAACAGAACCATATTTCTATGAACTGAGTTTAAAAGAAGGCAACTGCGTGTTGGGGAGGGGGGAATTACTTTGTGACAGTAAGAGAAATTTAACAGTGGAACCAGTTACTGCGGGTTGGGGACAGGGAGTTACTAATGATAGTTGCAAAGAGAGAGAAAGATGTTTCTCATTGAATTACAGTCACCATAGTTCATATGGTAGCACTATGAGTAAGGTAGCAATGTATTCCAGATGCGCAAATTAAAAAGGCAGAAGCTTTACATCATATAAAAGCAACCACTTGCCACACACTGCATATTTTGGGCTAAGTATTTACGAGTAATGTATTTATAGCACACTTTAAAATATTTACTTTCAGAATGAGTTGACTCTACATCTTTTGCCCATCAAACAGAACAAGTTTTCTCCAGGACCTCCTGACCAGCACACATACACCACAATATTCAACAGGAGGAAAAGCTCAACAGCAGATCAGGTATTTTGCAAATGAAAGGCTATTCCCTTGAGTTTTCAGAACACAGCCATACAGATGTTATATAACATCACAAAACAATATCTGGCTAGCTGTATTGGATAGTTTGGTGAAACCAATCACATAATACCTGCCTCCTGGTGGTCCATGTGTAAATTCAATCAGAAACATTTTCACTTAAAAGCATAAGATAATAGATGATAAGAAATATATTTGCTAAAAACCTGGAGAGCTACCAGTGGACATTTCAAATTCTTGGTTCTGGTTGAGTTGAACTCTGAGATAAAAATTACCATGTAGCAAGACAGGCGGCTAATAAATTTTACAAATAAATAAATAATCTGGGCATAGCTGAACTGGTTTGGTTGTGATAAAGCACGAGTTGTCTGATCAATATAAATATAAACCTGCAGAAATACCCTGTTTCCAGTCTTATGTGGCAAAACTCTTCCTGGAACAAACAGGATCCCTGGAAAAATGCTATGGATGGAACTTCTTTTCCAATAGAACTCAAAAGAGTGAAAGAGGTTAAAAAAAATAACAACCGCAGTTCTCTTTCCCAGAGAAATATCAGAATGCATTAATAGAAAATCATTGTATCAGCCATGCGAGGCAGTCCTGACAAGAAGCACATCCAGAAGAACTAGTTCTATTTTATTAAGGTGACATTAGCTGGTTATGTTAACAGAATTTTGCAAGTTTGAGAGTACATCTCTCTCCTGTTACCTTTGCAGCCCAAGAAATTAAGGACGGTCCCTTCCAAGATGTTTGCCATTTTTCTGCTATCAACCAAACTTCCCTTTATCTGACTGTTCTGACTGCAGTTCTTGTCTCTCAAGGTCATTCTCATATACCATTACATACTGTGACATAAAAGACTGTAATAAATGCAATTTTCTATCACCTCCAGATAGAGGGGTTTACAACAGCTGGAATATGTTCCAAAATGGTGCGGAAAATCAATAGATGTTCTAGAAAGCTATGTTTAAAATATATGCCAGGTTTCAATACATACTGTATAAAGTTGGCTGCTTAGAAAAAGTATACAACAGAGCAGTCATATAGGTCACGCAGGAATAGTTTTAAACTACAAGGGAAAAAAGAACAGACAACTTCCCTATGAAAACAGCTGCAAATAATTCAGTGGGAAAGTTGTCAGAATAAAAATGTGAATATATGGGGCATTGCATGGGCCAAGTTTCCACCAACTAGCACATTGTATGTGGCACTGAAATGGAACCAGACACAGGATAGTGACTTTGGGAGCAGGCAGGAAATTAAGGATGAAATCTGTGGAGATCGCAGTGAATCCACCTTAATGTTCTGTTTTGCTTCACCAAAATGCATCATTGCTTTGATGTGATGACAAAAGTGAGACACTCTGCTTCCTCCAAGCAGCAAGCCAAGGCCAATCTCACTTGATCTGCTGCTTTCTTCCGGTGAAAGTGGCTTCTAAGCATAGACTGTTTTATACTTTCAGAAATTTTCTGAATCTCTTCTTATTGGAGTTTATGTCTAAATCTGAGCTGTTTAATTTTCTATCCCTACAAGAAAGAAAATGTGATCCTGTAAGTTACTGCATGTTATATTTCTTCTATTTTGCTTTGTAATGTCCAGATAATGTTGCTGGCTAGGAATGCTAGGAACATCTGGATATGGAGTAGCTATATTGGAGACTAGCTTATTTTTATCTGAAATCTGAGATCATGTGAAACTACATCTTGGAAATAAGGCCTTCCATTGTCTTTGCTTAAAGCAGGGGTGTTCATCAAGTCACTTTGGAAAGGTGCTTCACTTAGAGCACGGCTGAAACAAAGCTGTATTTCATTGGGATTTGCTTTTGTAAGGGGCAAAATTCCTCCAAGCATGTCTTCGGCTGATAAAGTTGCTTTTAGTACTGGCACCACAGGTCATACATAAATATTTTTACATATAAATCCTCTTTTCCTCAAGCTTTCTATGTTTTAATAATCTAATTTAGGAAGGGGAAATGCATTTTATTTTCATTATTATTAATTCAGTGGAACCCTTGTTGGAATCTGTCAGCCTTCAGCCTGTCAATGATCTAACTTTTGTTAGGAACTTTTTTTTAATGAAAAATCATCACAAAACAGTGAGATTAAAATACTCCCGCGTTAACAATGATGCTTAGAATTTAGTGTTCTGCTGAAAAATTATCCTTTTTAAAAAAATGATTTATTCTAATTCATTCTGATGAGGGAAAAGTACTTTCAATATAAGAAGAGGAGAAAGTTTCAGAAAAATCTTGATGGCTGGAGTGCAGGATAATTGTGTTTACTGGAATAATAGGATTACTAGGAGGCAGTAGCTTCAGTTCTTTTGACCATCTGGAGAGATGGGCTGAAGCTATCCTGCCTTCCCTTCAGTTATATTCTATGGAAGTCAATATGAAGGAATTTTTCTGGGGCCTTTTCAGACTATCAGTGATAGGCAACCACAAAGAGTAATGAAACACAAAAGAGAAAAGGAGGTGTAGGTAGTCTGTTAGGAAACTGGAAAGCTGGCTGAGGAATTCTGGGAGTTGAAGCCCACAAGTCTTAAAATTGCCAAGGTTGGAGACCTTGGTCTAGCTGGCTGTGAAAGTCCTCTAGATTATTTGTCATCCATTGTAGCAATAGATTCTCCTTACTTGCCTCAACAGGAAGAAATGTAATACTCTCCTTGAAAAACAAGACTCATATTCAGCAGCATTACTGGATATAACAGGGATAGCCAGTTTTTTTTTAAAAAAAATTCTTTCTCAGATGGAGACACAAAGCTTTTATAGCGTAGAAGAGATACTAACCTTCCATTCCTCCTGTTCCTGAGTGGCTGCCCTGCATGCCAAAGCCAAAGAAAAAATGAGCCTTTTGGAGAAGAATCAGGATTATGGATGACCTGGCAATCAAATGACTATCCATTTCACAAGCACTTTCCCTATTTTTTTTATTTGGGGTGGGGAGCACTAGCTTTAGTCTTTGCACGTAGACTTGTTTGGTTTTAAAAACTTCCCCAAAAGGATCACATAAGCCATTTCAGACAGCTGATTACAGTTTTGACATAGCTTACAGATACAATGGGCTGTAGCCATTGTTGCCTGTCATTTAATATTGCTACGATAACATTGAAAAGAAAACTATGTACACAGCCAAGAGCTCTTGGAAAGAAGGAAAGGATTGAAAATAAAATGCAACTGATTACATCTAGTAACTGGGAACTGCACATATCTAAGATGTGTGCGTCCCTGTCAGATTTTAGATACTTCAGAAGTTACAGTGATGATCTTATTTCATATTTTCTGATCTGAATGATTGGCATAAAACTCCCATCTCTGAACAGTACCTTTATGAGAGTGTGTTTGAAATAAAAGACTTGACAGTTTGGACTATCCAATTATTTCCTCTCCAATAGTTAGTATTTTCCTTAGTCCTTGGCCTGCCTCTTTATAACTTCATATGAAGATATTATATCTACCTAGCACTACCTGCCACACCTGCTGAAAGCCTCCTTTTTATATCACCCGAGTGGAGATGAATGAAAAAGACATTTTAAAAAAGTTGTATCAAACAAGTCTTCCTGGCCCTTTCACAAAGTTCTTTTCCACTTTTGCAAATGTTTATATATCTTTCCATCAATCATTAAGCTCAAATAGTGTTCATGTGTTATAAAGTGATACAAATATCCATGAGAACACACACAAAATAACAAAATGATATAGCAGCTGGAATTCTTTCCCTTTAACATATCCTTGACTGGAATTAAGGAAACAAAAGAACAACGAACACCCACCAAGCAAGTTGGACAAGCTTATATTCTACCCAGTTGTCTCATTTCTTCTTGGTACTTAAAGCTGATGAAATTCCTATGAGACAGATCTCTTAGGAATCCTATATACATGGAAAGCCAACCCCAAAGTTCTCTATTTCTTTTAAGAGAAGACTTACCGATGAGACAAGCATCCATCCTGAAGATGTTCCAAGGGCAAGGCAGCAGCTCCTCCGATTTCTCTTCCCTTTCTTCAAACTTAAGGTGACTTGAACATAATAATAACTAAACCAAGTGACTCCACCCTTTGTTTCTGGTTCCTCTGTGACGATTCAGATAGACAGAGGAAGCCATTTACCCACAATTCAGAACTGTGCACAAGTAGTTTGGTTATTTCCTGGAAAAAAAAATGCAAACCCACAGCACTGCTGCACTGCAATGAATGTCTTTGTTAAGAGGAATCTTGAATCACAGAAATATATTCCTCTCTTAGAAGTGATTCCCACTGAGTTCAATGTGCTCATTTGTAAGTGTAAACCATTCTTTAGTTAAAACTATCATTCATTTATTAATTTATTTATTTATTGGAATTTGTCAAACAAAAATGAGAACAAGAATAAAAGAATTAAAATACAATGACAGGAACGATAGGCACATTAGTGCAGTTATGTACACCCCCTGTACTAACCACTTAAGTATGAAGTAAGGTCCACAGAAGTCAATTTGTGACTGAAACTGTGAAAATTTATACGAATCAGGTAGGACATTCCAGACCTTGACAGCTCTATTACAGAAATCATTTTTTTAACAGTCAAGTTTAGAATGATTTACATTGAGTTTAAAATGGTTGTTTTGCTCAGGAATCATGTTCAGGACAAAATGGTAGCAAAAGTATGAAAAACCTCAAGTGGTGTGACAATTAAGGAGCCTTTTTTATGTTGCTAATTAGACTAAACACTATCTGTTTTAGGTGTTGGGTTCCTTCCAGAAAGCCAGAACTAGAAATAAAATAATGCATTTCTGTCTGTTGGTTCTTTTTGCCAGTTAAAAAGAATCTGGCCTTACATGTATAACTTATTTTTATTTCTTCAGTATGAGCATGCTTTCTTTAAATCCCATGTAGCTCATTAAAATTCAGTTGTGATAAAATTGTACTGAGCTCCCATCTCTTGCTGTTGTTTTGTAATCTCTTTATTCCTCATTCAATGCAAGTCAAACATATTCTACACTTGCACAGTTTGTACACCTATCCATTGAAAAGAAATTTAGCTCCACAAATCCATAAGCAAGGAGCCCCAGGCAGTTCTGATTTGTTGACAAATATAACCATGTGTATGACATTGTATGCTACATCTGGCTTCCTTAACAGACCAAATGAACCAGAAAACCACACTGCACCTTTAATTACCTATGTATCTGACATTTCCTCTTCTCTCCACAACTGTGAAGGGGACAAAAGGTCCTATTTTGCATCCATCTCCCTAGCTTTCTCTCTGGGTGATTCAATGCACCCCTTCCCACAACTTTTCATTCCATCTTTTCATCCCATTTTGCAATAGTGTTGTTTAAAAGGCAATTAAATGGAGCCAGCAGATCAAGAATACTTCTGCTTCTCTTTCACATTTTCCTCAATCAGTAAGGGTGAAAAAAGGAAATGCTCAAAAGGCAGCACCATTCTTTATTTCATTTCTTCAGGACAATCCAGAGAAGCTGCACCACCAGCTGGAAAGAAAAGAGTAATGCAACAATTACAATTCGAAGAAACCAAGTTCCTAAAGTTTCCATCTTAGGATCTGATGGCAGTGGTTATGACAATATGTAATAACATATATTGGATGTATTAAAAATAACATGTCATTATTTAGAATCTAATCATATAATGAGTCCATCTCAAGAAGACATGTTAAGTGTCTGGCATCTGTCTGAATTGATAAGGATATGGCCACTACCACATTCTTAAACCCTCAAATTCCAGAGATCCATAAGTTTCCTTCCACCTCGGTTTTCAGATTTTCTTGAGGTGGAAAAAAAATGAAACTTTAATTTGGGGTTTTGCTGATTAGATAGATCTTGTTATGTCTGTGGAACTGGTTGGAGTTCCCAACCAGGTCCGCTGTTTGAGCGGGAGCACCAGCAGCTCCCATTGGTTGGCTCCGTTTGACAGCCGGCTATATAAGCCGGCTGTCGAGCAGAGCCAGCCCGTTGTCACCCGCTGGTCTGCGAGTTAGCTAGCAGATGCGACAACCCTTTATTCATTGCAATAAAGCCTGTTACTTGCACGCTCTGGTCTTATGCCTCGTCCTTACCATCGCTCTACAACACTGGCGACGAGGATGGGATGGTCGAAGGCTAGCCAGACGCGTTTTTACAAAGAGCTGTAGTCACAGAGAGAGAAGCAAGGGCGCTGTAACCGCAGCCGCCCCACGCTCGCAAAGAGCGCGAAATTCAAACGGATACCGTGAGAGCCGATTTGTTGAAACGAGCCACAGGCACAGCAGCCGAGGCTGCCCACACTCGCCAAGAGCGCATTTTTCAAAAGAGCTGAGCAGCCCAGAGAGACAAACCGCAGCGCGTTCTTTTAAGAGCGCCATTTCAAATAACAATCTAAAACAGACGAACCTGTTCCTTTTCCATGATGAGCGCGAATCAAGCATTCCCTCCATTTAAACCAAACTAGGAGACATGGGACTCCTACAGAAACGATTCAGCCATTTTCTTGACGCCATCGGTCTAGCCGACGCTGCGGAGCATAGGAAGAAGTCCTATTTCCTGAGTTACTGCGGAGCCACCGTTTTCGACACAGCCACAGCATTAGTCGTGCCCCGCGCCATCAGAAGCGTCCCATGGGACAAGCTACAGGAAATACTTTCAAATCACTATTCGCCCAAACCGTCTCAAATAGCCAGAAGGTATGCCTTCAGGGTCAGGAAGCAAACAGAGGGGGAGTCGATCAACGAATACATGGCCGCCCTGAGAACAGCCGCATTGCATTGCGGATTCAAAGAATATTTGGAAGACATGCTGTTGGATCAGATCGTCTGTGGGGTAAGAGATCTGAAACTACAAAGGCGTTTACTGGCGAAGAAAGATCTGACTCTAGCCATAGCCATGGAGGAAGCCCTGGCTGCTGAGCTCTCGGCTCAGTCAGCAGCCGAAATTCAGGGAAATCAATCCAAACCCAGCATGCAAACTGTCCATTCTGAAGAGGTAATCAGCGAAGATGACCCCACAGATGTGTCTGACGTTAACCGCCTAATTCACCAGAAGCCTTCACAGGTAGGAGTGGGGCAGAGAACCAACTTCACCCCCAAGCAACCTCCCATGTGCCTAACCTGTGGAGGCTCCCACCCTAGGGCATCCTGCAGGTTCAGAAACGCCATCTGCCTGAACTGCCAAAAGAAGGGTCACATCGCTAGAGTCTGCCAAGCAGGGCGATCCTTACCTCAAAGACCACTACCACCTTCTAACTCCCAAAGGCAAGTGGTGGACTGCTATACCTGCTACCACGCTAACCATACTTCCCTAACCCCTGATAAAATTAAATTTTCTGTCTTCCTAGAAGGTAAGCCCTGCAGGATGGAGGTGGACACGGGATCCGCGCTCTCAATTATCTCCTGGGATACCCTGAAGAGACTCCAGCCCAGGCTGTCAAGGAAACAGCTACAAAGATGCCACCTGACGCTACGAGACTACCAGGAAAAGAACATTCCTGTCCTCGGGAAAGGCAAGTTCCTTGTGCAATTCCAAACCTTTAAGGGCCACCTGCCCCTAGTGGTAGTTAACGGTACCCTCCCTAGTCTATTGGGACTTGATTGGTTTCCTTCTCTCGGCCTTAGTGTAACCGGGATCCATGCTGTCTCAACTTCTGATGTAGATACCCTATTTTCAGAATTTTCCGATGTATTCAGCAATGAGCTGGGTTGCTACTCGGGCACCCCCATATCATTTTCAGTAGACCCCCAGGCAATCCCTCTTCGTTTAAAACCCCGCAGGGTGCCTTTTGCCATCCGTCCAAAATTGGACGCAGAACTAGACAAACTACTGAAACAAGGGGTGCTAGAACCCACTGATTTCGCGAAATGGAAGACCCCCATAGTCACCCCACTCAAAAAAGATGGCAGTTTGAGAATTTGTGCGGATTACAAAACCACGCTCAACCGCTATCTGCAGGTCAGCGCCTACCCCGTGCCCGTTATCCAGCATCTTTTACATACTTTCGAACCCAGCACCATTTTCGCTAAGTTAGATATGTCCCAGGCATACCAGCAGTTCCCTGTAGATGAACAGACAGCGGAGTTACAAACTGTAGTCACACACAGGGGAGCGTTCAAATGTAAGCGCCTCCAATTCGGGGTCAGCGTAGCCCCAGGCATTTTTCAGTCACTCATGGAGAGGATTCTCCAGGGTCTCCCAGGAGTGGTCCCCTTCTTCGATGACATTTTAGTTTCAGCCACGAACCAGCCCCAGCTCATTCAGAGAGTCAGGACAGTGCTAGAGAGGTTCAGGCAGCATGGCCTCAAACTCAAAAGGGAGAAGTGTGCCATCGCCAGTAGGCAGGTGGACTTTCTGGGTTATAGGATTGACGCCTCGGGCATCCATCCCATTGAATCCAAGGTGAAGGCCATCCATGAGGCACCCACACCCACCAACAAGACTGAACTACAAGCCTTCCTGGGACTTTTGAATTTCTACGCCTCATTCCTCCCACACAAGGCATCTGTCGTTGAGCCATTACACAGGCTACTAGATAAAGACTCACCCTGGCACTGGGGACCCAAGGAGGCCCATGCATTCAAATCAGTAAAAGCCTTGCTCACTTCAGAAGCGGTCCTGGTTCAGTTCGATCAACGCCTCCCCCTAGTCCTGGCTGCTGACGCATCCCCTTTTGGCATTGGGGCTGTCCTGAGCCACAGGCTCCCCAACGGGTCCGAGGCACCAATTGCTTTCTTTTCTAGGACTCTTTCCCCTACCGAGAGAAACTACAGCCAGATCGATAAAGAGGCCCTGGCCGCAGTGGCTGCAGTTAAGAAGTTCCACGAATTTGTGTTTGGCCACCACTTTGAGTTAGTGACTGATCACAAACCCCTTTTGGGACTTCTGTCTGGAGACAAGCAAACTCCGCAGGTACTTTCGCCCAGAATGACCAGATGGACTTTGTTTCTGGCTGCTTACTCATTTAAGTTAGTGCATCATCCTGGCAAGACCCTGAGCCACGCCGATGCCCTTAGCCGCTGCCCCCTGCCAGTCCCAGTCGAAGACCCAGCACCTATCCATGCCATTTTCGAGGTCAACGA